AACTGGAATTTGGTACAATGGAGAAGACGTAAAAATATGTTCAAATTACCCCACACTACCCTAGAGAAGAGACGGCGTCACGGCGCTACAAAACTGCTATCTCAGATTTTCAAAATTTAGTGATTTTGACCCCAAAAATCAAAACATTCCTTTAAAAAAATAGCAAAAAAAAATCCAAAAGCTTTTCGAATTTCGAAAAAAAAAACAGAACATATATGATAGTCCCTCTCCCTACCATCTTTTATCTACATATCAAATTTTAGATCGATACCCTCTTTTTTGGGCAAGTTATAGCGAAAAAAAACTGTTCAAAATTGATAGCGTCAATTTTTTACCTCAATTTTTAGCAATTGATCGATTGAATTGACTACGTAGTCAAAATAAAGACCACCATTACACTCCCCGTGACGAGCTGCATCGAATCGCTACCCATTTTATGAAAAATATCAAGTTTGAAATTTGACCTAATTTGACCTACCTAGCCTTGACTTGACCTTCACCAGAACATAACCTTAACTTGCCCTAAAGGTTTCCTGAGTCCTGACCCACATAATCGCATTTGTCATGGAAAATGAACCATAAAACATTTATCACACGACACTTTCGTATTGTCACCCTCAGTGACCTGACCTGGTATTAGTGACCTCGCATAGCAAAATATTTGCTTGATTGACAATTTCATATCGATGATTTTCTATGATATGCCTTTTACTCCATTTAACAACACATTTCTTGAAATGCCTGTAAACGGTGAAAATTCGACATTTGACCTGACCTGTGACGTCATCGGTTAGACCGACGTCAATGAAATTGTGTCACAAGGTAGGTAGGTCCCCGGTGGGGCTATCTAACACCGTTTGCTGCTTGTCGCTATGTTGCGTAGTTCTCGAGATCTTAGGGGGGGGGGGGCAAAATACCCCCCATGATATCACCTTTTCTATCCGTCCTCGTTCTGACAGACTTGGTCTGCTGGTGCATTTAATATTTTCAAGCTGATCCCATTCCATCAAATTTGACACAAAACTTGTAGGACACCCGCCGTTTTCATCGCATGATCATCCTTGTGCTGAATGAACAGAGCTTCCCAGGGGGAAACGAAATGCAGCGCGATTAGAGGGCAGATGCAGCATATCCAGTGGAACGATGCCATCATCACCATCCCAGTAAAACCCGTCAGAATTAAATAGTGCCGGCACGGCGCAGTCGAGACGCTGGGGCGCGACGTTATTAACTTCCGAGACCAGCATAAAAGCCGTTAAGAGCTGTGCTTCCTCCACTGAATGACCGCCGGCTTCGGGGTCACTTCTTCAGCGACACCCTCGAAATGAGATTTGACATCATCCCTGCTCAGGAAAACCGAGTGCCTCCGCTCGTGACGACATTCTTCACCTATAGGCGATGGTCACTGGTCAGTGTGCTAAAAATGGGCTGGGCATTAGGAACACATTCTCATTTTCCACACATTCATCAGTAATTGGACCAAAGTATAAAAGTCCGAATTTCAGGGCGGAACGACTAATCGGAGATATAATACCGTCCCTCGGATTTCAATTATCAGACCGATATTTCCCGTCATTGGGTCGTCCGGTGACCGGGCCATTTTGTGCCTTTCTCGTAAAAACGTTCCTTCCCGGACCGAGAAAATCCGGACTTGTATATGTAGATACCTTACGTCTAGAAATTACCACGAAAAGCACTAACGGTGCAGCATGCTCTGCTCACCTGTTCTCGTGACAAATGACAACACAAATGCATATAAGGATGCTGCATTTAGCCTGTTCCTTTTGATGCTATCTTCATAAAACTCAATACCGCTAAGAACGTTAAACGTATGTAAATAGTCGGGTTGGTTTCCGCAATAGAAACGTAGGTAGGTAGTAGGTACACAATGGCGCGCATTTATGCCAAGGGTTACAACGAAATCCAATTGTCCCTTCAGTAGGCTAGAAATTACAGCTCTGTTGTACAGCTAAGCGACACCCGGCCGACACTTTATTTTGAACCTGAGACGACGGAAAGAAGGAATGCAGGAAAGACATGCGAGGTAAATGTTCAGTATCTCAGAGGAGATGACGAGATCGGTGCTCACGGCTGCACGGTGCGGCACGGCGCAGCCGTGGCCACGCCGAGCTGCAGACTGTGCAGCGCGGGCTCCCTGCAGTGGGCCACAGGTAAATGACGGCCGCTCACGACACCCCTGTCGGTCCGGCGGCGGTCACGACCGGCGGCTGTATCTGCCACGACGCCTGGAAATCGGCAGCCACAGCCGCCCACCACAAACGCTGTTCTCCACGAGAATTATGCACCGCACTATGAAGGTAAATCACTCCTGACGGTCGTCACGCCAAATTCACAGGAAAATGAACAGAACCGGAACGGCGCTGCAGCCCGCAACCGCTACATGAACTAGACCTAGATGACCGGATACACGACAAAAGGAATCGCTAGGTAACGCACAGAATGTCCTTCAACATGGGCCCGATCGGTGAGTCAGGCCAGTGTATTCGATTTTGTCAATATTTAACCCGGCAGTTGCTGGGGTATTTCGCCACCCACCGTTTGCTGGGGGGGGGGGGGCGTTAAACGCCCCCAGCCGATAACTCGAGAACCAATAGGCGCAGCGAAACGCACGAGGCGGCAAACGAAAGAACGCGACGAGACGCTTCAGATGAGTACTTTATAGTTGAATTTTGAGGTCACAGTTCAGGTCAAGGTCAGGTCAAACACCTGAAATCGGGCTTTCAGTAGCATGGACTTCAGGACTTCGCAATGGGCGCCTCTCGTCATAAACTCTGTCAAAACGGTGCACAATCCATCATATAAGGCCTACAAGAGTGTCAGCTCCATGCAGGGGTCAGTCAAGCAAAGGTCAGGGTCAAGGTCAGGTCAACCGGGCAGGCACATATCCCCGAAAATAAAAACTGATATTCGCAGCCTGTGACACATGTTTTATGGGTAATTTGGGGCGTAGAACACGATGGTGACATTCATTTTATCATATGTGTACGTGTTTGGCTAAAAGAGTTCAATTTAAGAAATTCATGTAGCATGGTCGTGAAGTAGTCACGAGAAATTGCCAAGATTCAGTTCAAGATTTTGGAAAATGCGGAACGATAATCAATAATCGAAGATAGCCATTTGATTTTTCATGGTATTGGCAGTCTAATGGCGTTTACGGCATGTCTATATGTCTATTCTGTGATTTTATATGATTTTTTGAACATATGCCGTTTTTGGTCGAAAACTCAGAAATCATGACGTCACTAAAACCTCGATCTCAAAAATTTTCCGACCGATTTTTTTTGAAACTTTGACACAATAAACTTCAATCAATTCCCTACAGGTACCCAAAATTTGGCGCGCCTGCGGCGCGCCGTTTTTATGCTACGGCCCGGCGAAAAAAGTGGGGGCGTTTAACGCCCCCCCCCCCAGCAACTCGCGGGTTAATGCCTAGCGACTTCGGTATAGATCTCTAACAAGGCTGAGGACCAATCGGTATGAGAGGGGGACACTGGAGTGGTGATCCTGCCACCCCTCTCCGTCAGCTTGAAAATCGTTCCTACGCCTTCCTTTATAGACGTTTTGCGTGGAGGTTCACTGTCACATATTTGATTTTATTTGGATGAAATTCGAAGATCGATTAGAATTTGTGCTTTATAAAATTTCTCCAATAATTTTGCATGAGCGCGTTTCTAAGATCATAGGCCACGCGAAGCACGATTATTGCGCATGTTTCTGATCTCTACCAGCGCCTGATCGGGAAATTCCGGGTACACGGAAAACAAAGGTGAAACGTTTAACGTGTCAATGACCACACGCCGCCTGCCCCGCTTATTCCCTTCTACACCACCTGTAACACATTCAACGGTAAATTAGCTTTGTTTGAACTGGTTTGTAACTAGCACTGCCCCTGTACCACCATTGTCACTGATGTTTGCAACGGTATGTTGTTTGTCAGAATGCTTTTCCTGTTGGGCCAGGCCCTTTCGGTCAATTGAGAGCGAGATCATTTCAGGTCCGTGACCACCCAGCCACTAAACCGTCACCCTCGAGTCCCAAGTTGTAGGTATATACGCTCCTATCGGATCGTCGCTTGTCTGGTGGGACAACCATCAGCCCGTAACATGAGTATACGAGCAATGATGCGGAAAAGATTACCTCTGCGGGGCTCATGTATCCCTTGAAGACCACCAAGTCCTAAATTCGGGTCTACTCGAGAAAACCAACGATACACGCTAGTTCGCAGGGGCATGGCTTTCAAAACGGTGAAGAGTGATGCACATGAGTTTTACGATGCCCTAAATGAATGATGCCCCTGTCTGATAATGCGGTACGGTCGTTATATCCAGCCATCAGTCTGCTAGATTGTTAGCACGATCACATCGCTGACCGCGAGTTAGCAAATCTAATTACCTCTCTGCCAAGGCGACACTATGAACATGAAACTGAACAGGCTGCAATCACACACCATTGAGATCATTCCAGTTATGTTTTTGTCGAGCGAGGACCTATCCCGCCCCCTGCCGGCCGCCCTCCGTCGAATAGCTATCGAACCACCAGATGGCAGGCTTGTGACAGTACCCCCAGCGCCGCTATGACTGAGCAGTTCTAATACCGGGAAAGTAAACCAGGATATAACCAGGTGTGCGAGGCGCCACCCTCGTCGATTGAGAGAAAGATCTACGGCGTCAGATTCAGTGGTCACACAGCCCCCCAGCTGAGCACTTATGGGGGAGGGGAGACGAGTGAAAGGGTGGGCTACAGTTGTTTATGTGGTCGAAAGACAAAATCAACAAATTTGTGCTGCTATTGTGTGCAAAATGGTCGTTATATAGCCCTGGGAAATATTCGTTTGTTCGACCAGCCATAATCGTCGACTACCCGCATGCAAGAGGGGAGAGATATCCATCGTTGTGCTGCAGCCTTGAGTAATTTCTAAGGAAAAAAAACAGCGTAAAATACGTACTAATACGGACTGAGTTTGAAAAAAGATAATAGGACAGAGATGATGACATTTATTTCTTTCTTTTTGCCAGAGCAATGCGATTCATGACATATGTACAGAAGTGCTACAATAAATGACCATACACATCACAATGAAAGCGTATAGAGCCGGCAGACACGCGCCGCCGCCACGTCCGGCACGCCCGGTAGTGGCCTGGCGGACGCGCTCCGCCGTACAGAACGGCCACACACACCAGTCTCATGAAAGACGTTCAGCGCATCGAGGCGCACAGCGATACAAGCGAGTTATCGGGGACAATTGATTCCACAAAAAGCACGGCACCGACAGTGATCCGACCGGCGGCCCGCCACTCGCGCGAGTCGCCAACACATTTGACAATGTTGACGTCAACCGTCACGCGTAACACCACAGCCACCAGTAAAACAAGACAATGCTCACCAAACCGTTTGGTCAATACTGTAACTATGTTATGTACAATTTTGCGATGATTTTGCAACTGGTATATCTCATCAAGTCTACTTAATCCTTTGCTTTTTATGTGTTAAATTCGCCATTCAATGCAAGGTCCTAGACTAAAACAACGAATGGGGTAAACAGGAACAACGAGGCAGCCTGTACTTTTTTTCTAAATCTCCCAAAGACAATCTGGAATATACGGGCTCTCCCGTCTAGGATGAACTATCCATGCCTTATGTGCAAACATGAGACAGAATTTATGTAGTTTACCTATGTTCAACTGAATGCGTTATTCGGGACTGACTGTGCGCGCGGATCTCGCAGTTCACCACCTGAACAAGACTGCTACTTGCGAAATCAACAAGGATATGTCATTGAAAAACACAATGATAGTGTGGACCCCAGCCATTCACGGCTGTTATCCATGAGCTGTCACTCACCCCATCCAAAGTACGCCATGGAACTAGTGTGGAGAGTGAAATGATCATAATAAATACCCAATCAACTGAATCAGACAGCAGAACTTTTCAGCAGGATACAGTCATCCACTTAGTTACAACTGAATAGAAATGACGATGCAACCGACCATAAATGCCCAGCGATGAAATTCACACCACCTACATGAGTTTGTACTAAAATTGTGTTTCTATCAAATAAACAAGGCATGCCGAGTAGTACTGGCGTACGGAGAAACATCTATTCGTCATATCGAATAACGCATTGGGACGGGGCTGATCAGAAGCCTGCGCTTCCGAGAGTGAAACTGAAACGGCTGGCCAGCGACGGCTCCTGCTCAGGTCACCTCCATGGGACCACAGCCCTTCCTCACATCGCTGGCCGAGACCGGCGGTTCACTATGCCGCGAGTGGGGTTCACTGCCGGGGACACACAGACGGGGCGCCACAGTCAAACAGGGTGCAGGCCAGCCGCCTTTTCAGCATTGATAAACGGAGACAGGTGCATCGGGCTACTAAAGACCCAACCGCACAACGAAGCCACCAGAAGCCACAAGTCTCGTTTTTCAAATATTATGTCATTTTTGAAGCACGTGAAATTCTGAAGCTGGCTGTACTATTAGGGGCAAAATGTTAAGTTTTGGCAATAAATGGCATCTCGGACATTCGACACATTTTTTGTTGTTTGTATCAGTTTCGTGAAGTTGTAAAAGTATCGACCCTATTTAATAAAAAAAAATACTGTTTTACCCTACTCTCCACATCCCCTTTTCGGAACCATAGAACGCACAGGATGGCGGTTGCAATGATGCAATCCCCGTAGCATTTCGCACCAAATTCGTCAACCAGAGACAAATATTTAACAAGATGGGCGTCAAAAGATGCACAACTGAACCGCTTACGTAAAAAGCGATCCTTAAAGTCAGAGTGTTACCATTTATGTTAAACGGCGAAGAAAGCCCGTGCCCCAGCCCCAGTCGAGGTGAGGGATTAACGTTGCTATACCGACCTACTCGTTCGGTCCAAACCAGTTTTTGTTTAAATACAGTACTTTACGGTAATTTATGTTCACCGGATGACCGGGTTTGAGTCAGACACAGACACGTCTGTGCGTCGCTCACCTGCCGGCCAGGTGGCCATTGTCGGCCTTGTCGGTCATCAGCTCCATGGCGGGCGGCGTGTCAGCCAGCAGCACGGCGCTGCCCGCCGACGTGGTCGTCATGCCGCCGCTGCCGCCCAGCAGCGTCACCAGGCCAGACGGCGCTGACGTCACCGGCGTGGGCCACACGCCGCCGTTCACCTCTGGCCGGCCACAGCCTGCGACCGGCAGCCGGGCGTCACAGGTGACCAGGGAGACACCAACCCGTGAACGAGAGGGAGCGCACCCGCGGACCACGATGTCTTCATTGATACGCCGACCAATGCAAACATGAAAGGTCAGGGCCGGCAAGCCGAAAACGGCTTAAAGCGATTTAACGCTGTATAACAAATCACAGCCAGAAACGCAACATCAACCCCACTATGGCGCACAAGAATTGCAAATCTAAACGGATATGGGTAAGCTACAAGGCGAACGATCACTGCCATTGATCACGAGAGCTGCAAACTCACGTTCTGCACCCGAGAAGCCGGTCGTCCTGCCGGCCGCGGGTCCCGCCGAGTCGGCAGGGGGTTCGGAGGCCGTCCAACTGCCCTCCTCGGCACCGTCCAGATCGGCGCCGTTCTGGGCACTGTCCATTAGCACACCGTCACTGTCCACTAGGTACGGGCTAATCAGGTTCGTCACCAGTTCACTGAATGTATCTGACGGCGCCAGCGAGAACGACGACAGGCCGAGCGTGTCGCCGGTCGGACTGGCCGGCGGCGAGCACACGTCCGCGGCCAGCTCCGGGGTGGGCACCAGCCGAACGCTGGAGCTGGGCACCATGTGGACGCTGAGCGGCCGGCCGGGTGGCTGGGAGCTGCTCACAGAGCCGCTCGCGTCCAGCGGCGTGCCCTCGATCTGGTAACCGGACGGCAGGTGCTGGATGTAGTCCTCCACGTCCAGCTCCGAAACGGGGCTCGGCGGGGGCTCCTCCACAGGACAGAAGCGCCGCCTGAAACACGAGTAACAGCATGGCATGAATGGTAGACGACTGGTGCCCTTTCCTTTTAACTTTTGCACTAAAAAAGGTCCAGCCTAAAAAAGATCACTTCAAGAAAAACAAGATGGCTTCATTGTCATGAACTGATTAGAAAGTGCTCACGCAACATAAGCGCCCCAATATCATACACATCGCTTAGAAATGTCGCATAAACAGTAAACACTCTTAGGGAGCAAACATGTTTTATGATCAGACGCCCACGCACCAGGGTTTATTCAGGGTATAATTTCCAGTGTGTCCAAAATTGTAATGTTGCGGGGAAATCCACCCATAATGAAGAGTATAATGACATCCTAAAAGAATAAATAAAAACATCCTCACGGCAGTCACAACATATAACCATATAACCATAGTGGTAGGGGTAGTGGTAGTTATTTATTACACTATGATATAACCTCGAACCCAAACGTCTAGGAGCAAGAGAAACCCGAACCTCTCAAACTCCCAAGACGCCAAGATAACCATTCGAATAGCTAAAATGTTTAAATGTACTAGTATGACCCGACTTAAAAACCTCATTTGACATCCCGAATATCAGGATCAGGGCTACGGAGCCGGAGTCGGAGTCGGAGTCGGAGTCGGAGTCGGTCGGAGTCGACAGTTGTGACCGGAGTCGGAGTCGGAGTCGATTTTAGAAACCCGAGCCGGAGTCGGAGTCGGAGTCACCGAAAATCTGTCGACTCCGCAGCCCTGCTAGGTCTGCGGAGTCGGAGTCGGGAGTTGGAGTCGGTCGGAGTCGACAATTCTGCCCGGAGTCGGAGTCGGAGTCGGAGCTGGTTTTTGAAAGCCGGAGTCGGAGTCGCCGAAAATCCATCGACTCCGCAGCCCTGAATTCAGGATGCCTTCAAAATTTTATCAGTATTTAATATTTCTACATCATTTTCTCATGACATAAAGATATAAAAACGGTGCTTAAAAAGGGTCGAAGTCAAGTTTTATGAAAATAACGGCATCCTTTCCGGCCTTTTTTCTACATCTTCCCCCTAACGTAAAATGAATTTAGCCACACTGATAATTTCCAGAAGTTAGCTTGAAACGTTTTTACGCGACGAAACACATAAACAAGAGCTTACGCATGTCAAACTAAATATAAATGAGCTGTTTGATAATACTCACGAGAAGCTCTCCGTCCCCCTGCTGTCTGTTAGCACATCAAAGTCCAGTGACCGCCAGTAGTCGTCACCATTGGCGAACGTCCGGTCAATGATTACCCTGTGAAAGGCGACAAAAGAACGAACGATTTAGGATCGACTTCATCTGGGAGAAAATGAGACAGACAAGATATCTCATCCTAACTTGGTTGCAAAAAGCTTGGAACGGAGAGAAGCAGCATCCTCAGGTCGTGCAGGCCTACTGAGCAGGCTGACACCTGGCGAGAAAGGGCCGCACCACACCCGAGACCGACAAGACCGTGCCGCCATCTACTGTGACACGCTGAACGTTCGGTCTGTCCGTATCGATGAGCCGGGCACGGACGAAATCACCGGTTGGTGGCTATGTGGTGCTATGCATCATTTGGCTGACGGGCACACGGGCCTTTGGGTAGTGTGCGGCGTGAAACCCTACTTATACGTAACTGGTCATTTTTATGCCGTATTGGAAGTACTCTGGTGTGATTTAATTTGCATAGCGCGACCCATGGGCACGGACCGTTTGCACAGATGGAGTTAATAACACGTTCCATATCCCGACCAAGACAGTGAAACACTACCAGAAACCGAGTAGTCCACTCACCTCCCGCCCCTGCCGACTCTGTGCCGCACCAGCCCGAGGAAGTGCCGTCGGGGCCGCCGCAGCGATCCTAGCCGGTAATGGCGCTTCCCGGCCGCGCCGCGGACAGACGGCGGCGGCTCCTGGCCAGCACCTCTGCCCTCCAGCCGCTCGGAGAGCGATGGCTGCAACACAGCCCCACGTTAACAAACGCAAACGCTGGCGGAACAACCACTGAAAAAGACGCACTTTGACACGTATGTTAGCACGGTACAGGGTGGCGTTCACACAACAAAGACTAAACAATCCGATTTGTGATAAACAAAACTCATATACGCTCTAAAAAAAAAAAATAATCACACTTCACGAGAAATATTACTCCCTTCACGTTCCGCTCATAAGTAAAACTATTTAAGCTCGAGTCACACCGAACAGCCGATATGAAGGGCGCCGTTGACTCACCGCCAGGTAGGAGCAGTTCCTTTTGCGGCGGAATGTGAACTCGCCGTCCGGGTCTTCGTCCTCGCCTTCCGAGACGGCGCTGGCCGCCGGCAGGTGCGCGGACAGACTGGACGGCAGCGGCGCCGCCTCCTCCTCGTCACTGGTCACCGTGTCGATGACCACGTCACTGACGTGAAGGTAGCCGCTGTTGGCGAGACCACGGGACCGGACGGTTTAGTGAAGTCAGATCGACTACAAAGTAGACACCAGTAAAGTTCATGATGCTAAATAGAAGGGTTGCACTGACACACTTCAACGTAGAAACTGTTCAGCTGCATGCATTAAAAAAATAATAATAATAAGCATTGCGGCTTAACTTTGACGATTATATTTCTTTTTCACAAGCCACACACTCAAATGCACAATGACGTCATTATTTTGATAGCAATGTGTCACAAATTACTAACCTTGTGGACGGTCTTGCAGAGGGTATGATGTGTGAGCGACCGTGCTTTCTCTTCTTGTAAGCACGTTTCTCTTTTGGTGGAAGATCGTCCTGTTAAGCACACAACGCAGATGATTGATCTGAATGTTTCATTTACAGCCATGTGATTACCTATCTTTGGGCGCGATTACCTATCTGGAGGCACCTTTTCTAGAGTGGCAAGCAAAAGCATGGTATAAAACATTTATTTACCACAAAAATAGCTTAGAATTTACGCAAAACTCACCTGCACGGTGCGGATTTTCACTTTGGTGGCCCACTGGTGTTGGTTGAGGTAGATGGACGAGTTGAATGCCGGGCGCGAGGTGACCGACTGCGCGGGCGGCGGCGGGGGCGGCGGCGGCGGCGGCGCCGGCGTCTGACACTGCGCGGACGCCGCCGCCGCGCCGCCACCGCCCGGCGCCAGGCCGCTGCTCACCGACGAGGCCTTGTAAGCACTGACGTCGGTTAGCACCTGACCGCTGAAGTCGCCAATAGAGTACCTGCAATGACAAAAAAGGTCCCAAAGTGAGCAAAACTTTTTTTTTCTTTACATAGATTCTTCCATAAGAAATAAAGTAAAAACACACTGAAACCAAATGACAAAAATGCATAAATAAGAGCATACCGCTTTTCGAAGATTTCGACTGTTAGATGCAGATGCTCCTTTTTCATCTTCTCTCTGCGCTTAACCATTTCGAGGATGGTTACTGCACGACTGAGATCCCGGCGGAGTTTCAGCATTTTCTCATAAGAGGCCTCGTCATTTTTGCGGTTCTTCCTGGTTTGCATCTTTTCGACGCGTCGACGGAAAGCGATATACGGATTGTTGGTGTGTCCTGCACCAACCGTCTTTTCCGTCTTCACGGTCGGAATGAGCGGATATTGCTGTCGGCAAAAAGGTGGGTGCAGCATGGTCAATTGAGCGCTCCGCTCACATAAAAGAAACGAATAAGCAAAACAGAGAGAGAGGGTACGGCGGGCGATCAAAGAAACCTAGAAAGGCGAGATGGACACAATAATAAAAACCATGAAACAACGAGGGGTGCAAACTGGAAAGACAAACTGGAAGAATGAACAATGCAGAATTGCAGATGACACAATAACAAGAACAAAAGAATAGGTCGAAAAAAGAGGGAGCAGAGATAAAAGATAATAACGCGTATAAAAATAAAAAAAAGTTTCCCGGTGATGGAAATTACCGAAAAATGCCGTGGCTGCTTCAACGCCATATTCACTTAGACGTTTTTTTTTTTGTCCCTATACCTTATTATCCTAAAGCAAGTTATCGCACCAACCCCTGAAGAGAAAGGCGTTTTGAACTTACCAGTCTGAGCCTCTTATTAAGCCAATAATCATAGACGGCCACTATGAGATCGTCATCCTCCTTGAGAAGCAGCTTGGCTTCCTTCAGCGTGATCACCTGTTGGCCAGAGCCCTTCTCCAGACGGTCCATCATCTCTTCAAACTGTGGAACATGCCAGCCAACAGTTACCATCCCTGATATTCCATTGCCGTAATGTTAGTGATTCATCCGACAATTAAAAAGCCTTCTGTGGTCTCTTAGTACCTTCGTATCAGAAAAGCCCAGCCCTTAATTTCGGCTAATGCTTAGCCAACAGCATTTTGACACGAATTGCCGTCCATTGGCAATACATACCTGGTCGTATGTAAGAGAGACGTCCATCTTTTTTACTTGCGCATTGATCCACATTTCGTCATCCGAGTCCAAATCGTATTCGGGAACGTCATTATCAAAGGCATAAGCTGAAAACAAGTTTCATCATCCACAAAGAATTGGCTAAGTCATCAGAACATCACAAACCAACCACGCTGCAATAAAACAAAACGAAAATCAGGCATGAAAAATGTTACGGAGAGCATCGAGCATCAATTCGAAAGATCTAAAATTATCCAAGACGCTTCTTTCTATACGTCTTCCTTTCAATCACTCAGCTACAAACAATTGTGACCCAATCACGCTTTAGCTGAGCCGTGGAGGACGCATTCCCCAATGGCTTTTGTAATTAAAGAATAAAAAAACATAAACGTCGCTTAGCTCCACATACATTCTTTGCACATTCGTCACATAATTAGCCCCAGGTGAATAAAATCAGGTCATGCAGGTAATCGGCTAACGTTTTCAGTCCTTCCTGGGTTTCCATCCGTTATCGGTCATCAACTGCACTTCACTTTATGGATTACCGATTTCTTCAGGCATATCAGATGCATTGCAATGCACTGGTTGATAGAGGCTAGAATTCAATACTTACACTGGTAGTGAATGTACTGTTTGGGTACTTTGTTGTTATGCGGGTAGAGAAGATTCAGTCTGTCGCCGTCCCCGAGCTCCTCCAGCCCAAACACCTCTGGTGTTGGGATCACTTTCCCAGCGCTTATCGCCTCTTGTAAGTGGCGTTCCTGTAAAGGACAAAATGAGGTTGAGATCCAGCATGCAAGCACGCCAGATTCCAAAGTCCAAACAAGGTTTCAATGACTCGAAGCTATTCAAAACCGCGAACTGCGGGGCATTTGAACATCCCCTTGCGGTTTTTCGCGGGTATCTATAAAAAAAAACGGCGGCGCCAGCCATCGTTCTCGACACGCCTCCACATGCATCTTTTCAGCACATGTGAAAATTTCAGACCCAGGTCTTTCAAGGTCAGGTCAACAGGTCACATCAAGTGACCTCACCACTCACCAGAAAAAAAATTATAATGCTCGTCATCATATAGGCTCATCTATCGATACGTCCGTGTGCCAAACAGTTTCCAACGGTATGTCTTTTGGCCAACTAGAGTTGATATGAATCGATTGTCGATCAGTCCGTAGCTAGCAAATAAAATTGTATACACAATTTTTCCATATAACAAGTTTGATGGCCTTGTGAAGTAACGCTCGCCTGAAGTAACGCTGAAGTAACGTTCAGCATTGCTTGTTGCGAAAGGCATCATGAATTCACGACACGATTGTGACCGCGGCCGATTCATCAGTTATACATTAGTCAAACGTTTGATGCACTGAGGTAGATCGCAGGGTTGGCATTTTTGCCGGCATTTTTGCTGGTTTAAACCGGTTTTAACCGGCATAAAGTGGCAAAAACTGGCGAAAACTAAAATCAATCATACCGCTATCCCTATACAGTATTGAGTATACATGCCTTTGAGCAGGAAACGTTTTAAAGGGGATTGATTGAAAGCTATATGCTTTTAAACGGAGGTAATATACTGTCCATTCTAGTGCTAAAACCCTTCAAAATATTTTCATGAGTAACCAGTAATCAGAGACGATGAGTAACCATTAGTAACCAGTAAGACGCCTTTTTGGGTAGACAAATGAGCGAATGCGAGGGTGAGTCCTGCAGAAGTGTGAAGGCCCTGCAGAACTGCTACTGACTTGGTGCACGATACCCTACTAACCGGTTCCGGACTGTGCCAGTACCAAATTTATGTTCAATCGACACAGCTGTTCTTGAGCCGTCTACCGACATTCATAGACATTTTAAGCAGCGGTAAACTAATGAGGCAAAGCTCGGAATGTTTAGTGGGTCCCAATGACATCCAGACTTTTTCGTGTTCGTTTTTCATTCGTACATTTTAATCAATTGCTTTTTAGAAAAGAAACGAAGTTTTGGTCACTAAGAGTTTTAGCCAGTTTTTGCCAGTTTTTGCCACCATGGTTTCTGCCAGCCGGTTTAAACCGGTTAAAACCACTGGCTAAAATCAGTTTTTGCCACCCCCTGCCAACCCTGCTGCTAAGGGGTTTTCCGGGGAGCTGACTGCTGCTCACGAATATCGTGTTAGTTTTGATCACAGGTGATGTCATTAAGCGTTTAGACGAGGTCGGGTCAGGTCAGGTCAGGTCAGGTCAGGTCAACCGGTAGGGGTCGTGACGGGTATTCGTAGTACCTGTCATCCGCCTCTGACAGAGCCGGAACATGTTACGAAGGCACCAAAACTACTTCGTAAATGTTCAAATGGTTGCTAAATTCGAATTCAGCTCCAAAAACTAGCATAGAAACATGTAAAACTCGAAAAAGTGAACCGAGGTCACCAAAGGTCAATGACCTTTCAGGTGACCTTGACACCCACCCTAATGCATGGGAGCAACATCAAATTACATGTTTGAACGTTTGAAACCACGAAAAGCTTGCAAACGTGCGGCTAATGCGAGCCGACATACGCCAAATCGCGATTTCGGCCAAACATGGTCACAGAAAAGAGGTCACAGGTCAAAGGTCATTGGGGTCAGGGTCATGAAATTTCCAGGGTAGGTGTAACATTGATCAATGCGAGGGTACTGACAGTTTCGTCGCGATCGGCCGCTTTTTACGCGAGTTATTCGCGAAAAACCTTAGGGGGGTTGCATCAACCCCCCCCCTGTGCCGGCGAGGGTTAAAATTTCATGACCCTGACCGAAATGACCTTTGACCTGTGACCTCTTTTCCGAGACCATGTTTGGCCGGAATCGAGATTCGGCGTTGGTATGTCGGTTCGCATTAGCCGCGCGGTTGCAAGCTTTTCGTGGTTTAAAACGTTCAAACATGTGATTTGATGTTGCTCCCACGCATTAGGGTGGATGCCAAGGTCACCTGAAGAAGGTCAGGTCAGGTTATTGACCTTTTGGTGACCTCGGTTCACTTTTTCGAGTTTTACATGTTTCTAAGCTAGCTTTTGCAGCTGAATTCGAATTTAACAACCATTTGAACATTTACGAAGTAGTTTTGGTGCCTTCGTAACATGTTAAGAAGCTGTCGAGGCAGTTGGGGCATTCCACGATAGATCGTACCACTTTTTTCCAATTTGACACCCTCATCTCTCGGAATTGGACGAGAATTGGTCTCAGGGGTAATCAGGGGCTCTGAATCCACCTGTAAAAAATTCAGGCTTATCAGATAAGTATTTTTTGAGTTATGGTGTATAACATTTTTTGGATCTTGCTTTGCAGCGCTAAGTTTCGCGGGCTGTAACTCTAAGACGGATTATTCAAATGCCAAATGTTATATAACATTGAACTTGCAATGAAACAGAGATTAATATGTATTTTTGAAATTTCGAAAAATACGTTATTTTCTATATATGACATATCAAGTTTTCTTTCATTTGTATTTTTTGGACTTTGGGACCAAATTTTTTTGAATTTTTATTTCTTTAAAAAGATATTTGGCTCATTGTTAAGAAGCATGCAAAAAATTAGGAAGGTGTTCTTTCTATAAATGTATTTATTTTACGTCACGATAACGGTTTCGAATAGTGATTTCGGGAGGGGAGCTTACAAATGGCGTGGTAAAGCTGCCTAGTGACAGCACGGGTTACTGAAATTTCAATTCAAGTCTGAGTCATCTGAAAAAAAAGTGAAAAGAGGGTTCATTCAACCCTCTTTCCTATAAGCGCGAGGGTGAAAAAGGCTGTGTGGTTCTGACATTGTTTTGGACGCCAATGACCATAGCTGTCCGAGATGAAAGTTACAGGACGCATACATGGTGTCCTCCAGAGGTCTCACAACTTGTATATCTGGGAATTTTTTCAAGGTTACATGAGGTCAGGTCGGTCACGTGACATCACTGTTAAAAATCAATGGGGAAATATAAAACTGTATTTTGGCGCCGAGAATGATATAAAACTATCCCACGTACATGGTATCGTGATTTCATGCACTCCTTGCAAAGTCCAATGCTTTACTTTTGCATTGTTAACCTTGCGTGACGTCATTTATGACGTCACTAGGGTCGTACGAGTTTTTCGTCAATAATTCCCGATCAAATGGAGCTAGAGAGTCGGGAAAGCCACCAATGGACTCGGGAAGACCTACCGAATCGAATGATATGCCATATGATACCCTTTGCCCAGCTTCGTGGCCTGAGGGGCTCTGACCTAACCTTGACCCGAGGTCAACTACTTAAGTTGACCTCACCCTAGCAAAAAGTATACCATTCGATGCACCTGAGCTAGGCGAACACAATGATGCCAAAATCGCGGCTCTGCGGCCATTTTTTGCGAAGTTATTTACTAAAAACCGAACCCGTAACTTCAGTCACGTGACCTGACCTCAGACGCTACCGGTTAACCTGAGACCTTAAAATCGGGTACCAATCGCTGCGACTTGTAACGGCACACACGCTCCTTTTTTCCGCGAGGCTCTAGCTCTATTAGAAGCGAAACGGCGTGCTGGGGTCGTATCAACCCCTCCGAAACCCATTTTGTTTTCGAGAAAATGAGGAACTTATAGAAAGAACACCTTTCTAATTTTTTGCATGTCGATTTGCAATGACATGAAAATTATTTTGAAAAAATAAAAATGTGAAAAATTTTGGTCCCAAAAGTCATTAGAGGCAAATGAAAAAAGATTAAGGTTTTTGCTCAACAATGGAATTTTTTCTTTGGAATTTTTAAAAAGTAATATTAATTTTTGATTCATCGCAAGCTTAGTGTTGTTTACTTTTTGTTGGTTGCTTAACCCGTTCTTGAGTTATATGCCATCAAACTCACCGTTACATACCGAAGTTAAAAAATGTAATTCAATATAACTCAAAAAGTTTTGATCTGAGAAGTCTGATATTTTGCCAGGCGTCTTTGGGGCCTATGATTACCCCTAGGACCGATTTTCATTAAAATCTGAGAGATGAGGGTGACGGGCCTGGTACGATCTATCGTGGAATGCCCCAGTTGACACGTACTACGAATACCCGTCGCGACCCCTACCGGTTGACCTGACCTGACCCGACCTGGTCTAAATGATTAAAGACATCATCTGTGATCAAAACTAACACGATATTCGTGATCAGCACCCCGAAAAAAACCACAGCCGCCACACATTACGACTTTCTAACAGGTTCCGATTTTCCCGAATTTTGGGACATTGACCTGACCTGGAAGGTCAACCGATGACCTAGGACCTTAAAATTGGGTAGCATCGGCTTCCTCTCGTGACGGGCAACACGCTCGTTTTTCCGCGAAGCTCTAGCTCGATCAGGGGCCAAAAGCGAGGGGGATCATACCATTCCCCCCCCCCCTCTTTCCGTCGAAGGACGCAAAATGGCCTGTGCCGGCGAGGGTTAAAGAAAATTACGAAAGGGAGATTTTTTCGAAGAAAAAAAGTTCTACGGATTAATTCCACCAATGACACATGAGTAGAGGCTATAATTATTTCATTCACTTTTGTCAGATATTGTTAAGGTGGGGACGGCCAAATTATACTGCCGGCCAAATTGCCCCATCCTTCCCTTCATTAGGTATAAGCCAATAGGAAAAAAATTAAATTCTAGATACTTCTTTTGGAGGAAAGTCATATTAAGCACGGTCAAACATCGAGGTGTAGGTAAACATGGCACATATAATCGGAAAATATCGTCCGTGACGCCTCGCCATGCCCCTGAGGTCATCTCAGGTCATGAAAGGTCTCCCAACGACAGTAACTTTTGATGGAGACATGCCAGATCGATGAAAATCGCTTAGATGTGTTCAGCCCAACAATACAGCTCAACAACAATGCATGACCTTTCCGGTCCGGTCATGACCTTGACCTTAGATCAAACTTTAAAACGAACTTTTAAAGTCAACTTATAGTTCATGCGACACGTCGTGACGAGAGGAACACGATGTCGGTATAATTAAGTGTCGTGCTAGTTTCGATTAAGACTTCAGAGGCTTTTGCAGAAAAACGTTTTCCGAGAAAACGTCAATCGTTTTCCGAACACGTCAATCGTCTTCCACGAAAACGTCAATTTTGACAGTTCTTGCGTTCTGGACTGGAGGCTAAGCCGTTAACCTTCCTTCAAATCTGAGATCACTAAGTATTCATAAAGAGCGGAAAGGGCGCTACCGAATGCGCTTTTCTGCAGCGCCGTACCTCCATCTGTTCCAGAGTTATGCGCCGCTTTGTCGACAACTGCCGAAATCGGCGAAGTTTGACCTCCGATGACCTCTGCTGACCTGACCTCTGACCTGACCAAAAAATGACCGAAGTAGTTTATATTTTTGTACTTTTTATTTCGACGCCGCCTACCACGCATCGTTAAGTGGCCCAGGAGCCGGACTGGAAGGAGGGGTTCAAACACCCCCCCCCCCCCCCCCAGCAGGACGTGGAAATCCAAGACTCCCAGCATGCAAAGCAACCTCTTTGAACCCAGTAATGCCAGGGCTACTTCCGCATCCACGCTCGGCAGGGTCGGATCCTAGGATTCGACCCCCCCCCCTGCCCCCGCTATCTCGAGACCCAGTGGTCGCATCCAGCCACAGCTCGGAACCTAACTACTGCGTGATTGACCTAACCTCAGAAATAACATCAAACAATTACAGTCTGTTTTTATTCAAAAGGTGTTTGGCTCCAAGTTCATTTTCGAAGTTCTCACTAGGAGTTTTGGCAACTTCAACATCTGGCAAGAATTTCTTACGGTAAAAATGTTCGATTTTTAATTGTGCTTGGTAAATACATGGAAATTGTGTCTTCAAAAATAAGCATACTATTATGACGTAACTCGTGGCAGCTGGCACAGAATGTCCTTACGAAAGCACAAATTACCAACCAATGCCGGGAAAACTTCATTTTTCACTATTACTGACGACCGAATCTATTAAGTGGTTCTGTCAATGGTACCTACTAGTTACTACCTATGTCCCTACATTACAAGTTCCACAGAATGCAATGCAAGCTCCACAGAATGACATTACCTGTGTTCTAATAGCTATCTGCCAAACGCACCTATGGAGATTATCGGGGAGAAATCACGTTAGAATTAGGCGACGTTCGATATTCTCAGGTTAGGTTTTTGCCCGTTTCGCTGTTTAAAACGCGTGCTTAGTTGAAAACATACTTGGAGCTGAAAACGTACCTCAAGAATAAAAACAGACTATAGTAAGTAGTAACATCAATAGGTCGGCACTGCCTCTTCTTCCGGGCCGAACCGAAATGCCGTAGCAATATTCAGAAGGGAGAAAAGGACTATAACACTTTAGTGTAATTGACCGAATTATTTCCGCAACGCAAGTAGTTCGTTCCTCCGTTACAACTTAAATCACTCCCCCCCCCCCCCCTGCTCAGTTACTTTCGAATTCATCCGGGCAGATTGGTCAGGCAAAGCAATAAGTTTTTGTTGTGGGCAGCAATTTGTGCCTTCCCTTGGGTTTATCCGAGCATACTCCGTACAATACCGCTGTTTTTCCATTAGCGGTTTAAGCCGCCGATCCCGGGACACGAAACGTCCCCGGTCCAACAGCCAGAATCTCGTCCCAGCCCGCCAGTTCCGGAGCTTGTCGACCGTCGAAGCCCGCCAGTATCCGTCTCAGCCTGCCTGTCGTTTTCCACAACCAGCTGGTCCCTCCCCCCCCCCATTGTTCCAAGCAGCTGGTCCTTTGCCCCAGTCCAACTGGTGCTGTAAAGTGTGTAATCCCACTGAAAGGCTTCTGTTTGGGTGAATTTGGTGGCCTGCTTTTCAGTGAAATTGGTTTGTGGTTTGCTATTTTGGTGATTCAATTGGTGGCCTGCTGTCTCAGCTGGTTTAGTTAGCATCTGTCTCAGTCTCCAACATGTGTAAAATAAACATCATCCTAGTGCCTGTCAGGTGAGGGCTGCTAGTATAACTATTCTATTTTACTACTGATGTTCAGGTCACCTACTGTGATGAAGCACCAGCACCCTAAGGAATTCCCTCCTGAGGCCTGCACTTAGGCAGTTACAGTAGGCACTACATAATGACCATAATAGCTCCTTGCTACCTGAATTATCTTTATCCCACCTGATGGTCAGAAATAAATATAATGGTCATGTAACTTATAATCTTAATTAGTATTAACACTGGGAGTTGGGACATTTATTTATCAATACCCCACATTTTAGCAAAAGCAAGACCAATTAAGGATGAATCGCTACAATTGCAATGCCAAGTCTACACAATATTCAGCTCACCGCTTCAAGTATGGTCAGACTAGGAGCTCGATACAGCAAGAGTACTATGGGCCAAATAGATCAATTTATGTACATTGTGTGCATGTAACATGTGATTTCAATTTACAAGTGTGCACCACCTGCTGGAAGTGTGCACAGCCACATACACAGGTGATTTACCTTTTCATTCAAATTCTGTTCCAGTACATTCATTTATTTCAACATACAAACATTCTATCCAGTTTCACCAATTGTTGCAGTATGGTGGGTATGGTGTTCCAGCTGCCACAATTCAATGTGATGCATGCACAGCATTGCAACCTTCAACACAACATGGCGGACGAGTGTACTCACCGATTCCTCCTCTTTTTCCATTCCAGACGGCATCTGAGGCACCGCCCGATTTATAGAGAGGTACTCAGGAAGATCAGGAAGCTCTTCTGACAAATAAATGGGCATGGGCTTGGAGGCATCGAGTGCCCTAGCCCTAAATGAAAGCTTACTCATAGCAAGCGTTCCCTGAGCACCCGTCAATCGTCCATAGCATATATCAGCTCACACGGCCGACACCGCGAAATAGCGAGCGCCACGCTCACCATTTCAAGCACCTTGGTTCAGAAAACACATAATGCAGAATTGTAAAGCGCAGGAACAAGCACAAATGTAAAAACTCAGTCGCTGGGCAGCACAGTCTCAAGTTTTCGCGTTCACAAAATGGCGGATTTTTCAGCCAAAACAGCAGAATCGGAGCCATATTTTGATAGTGCTGCCACCTACAATGATAGTTCTTCAGCTACTTTGTTGATTGTTCTCTAAATATTGGTGTATTTTTGCCATTGCTAACATATTCATAATCAACATGTATTTTAAACTCGTTCCTATAACATACGACTTGCTTTTATCCTTCAAACTGACCTAAATATATTATTTTTATGTCTCTCAGTAAATCGGTAAAGGTGACTTCTGTTACAAAATCAAGAACGCTTTGAACTTCAAATGATTCTTATTTCCCGTCATATTTTGCAAGTAGGTATTTACAGCCCTTCCGCTCCACTTCCAGGTGAATATTTGAATAATTTATTGTTCTTGTTCGTGTTATCAGTTATGATGTTTATATCTATGCTCATGGGCGTCACAATTCGAGTTATCGGTAGGGCTGGTAATGGTTGATTTTATGATTTAAAAGCTATTCTTACCATGCAGCGCCGTTTATGTTTAAATCCCGATATTAGGTATTGACAGGCCCTCGGCCCTACCCCAGCCAGCAAAATTGGTCTGGGCCGTATATGGGTCTGTCTGGGCGTTTTCTCTGGCAGCTGGCTAGTTGTGGCACTTACTCCGGCCGAAGTACAGGGAAGGTCTGGAACTCTACAGGAAGTATTTCAGAGGCCTATTTCAGAGACCTGGAGCTGACAAACGATCCCAGAAGCTCGCCCGCAGATGCCACACTACAACCGGACTTATGCCGCATCAGCATGCATTGTGGAGTGTGGACCATACCATAACATTGCCCACCGGAGAGACACTGGGATTTCAATTTTGTTGCCACATGCTTGGCCCTTGAACTAGTAAGCTAGACGTAATGGAAGTCGGAACTCGGAATGGACGGTGTTCGAGGGAATTGTAACCGATCGGCTCAATTGTTAAGTAGGGGAGACCGGGGAGAAGTTGGACATTATTTTGACGTCAGCTTTGAAAAATCGTAAAAAAATCTAATATTTAAGATTTAAGTACGTAAATTGATTGCATTTACTGGTAAACGGTTTATTTCTACTTCATTCTTTACTGTTTTTGTGCGTGTATGTTCACGTGTTACTTCTCAAATTTAAATTTTAGGAAAGGTTGACAATGGGGTGAACTGGGACACGTCCAGGAGAAGTGGGACAAATGATGGGGAGAACTGGGACTGGTCAAGAAATGTGATTTAAATGGAACACAATTAAAATTTGATGAACCATCACGAAAAAGGTGTTCTAAAAATTGACACTTAACCCGGCAGTTGCTGGGGTATTTCGCCACCCACCGTTTCAGGGGGGGGGGGGCGTTAAACGCCCCCATCCGATAACTCGAGAACCAATAGGCGCAGCGAAACGCACGAGGCGGCAAACGAAAGAACGCGACGAGACGCTTCAGATGAGTACTTCAAAGTTGAATTTTGAGGTCACAGGTCGGGTCAAGGTCAGGTCAAACACCTGAAATCGGGCTTTCAGTAGCATGGATTCAGGACTTCGCAATGGGCGCCTCTCGTCAGAAACTCTGTCAAAACGGTGCACAATCCATCATATAAGGCCTACAAGAGTGTCAGCTCCATGTAGGGGTCAGTCAAGCATAGGTCAGGGTCAAGGTCAGGTCAACCGGGTAGGTGCACATATCTCCGAAAATCAAAACTGATATTCGCAGCCTATGACACATGTTTTATGGGTAATTTGGGCCGTAGAACACGATGGTGACATTAATTTTATCATATGTGTACGTGTTTGTCTCAAAAAGTTCAATTTAAGAAATTCATGTATCATGGTCGTGAAGTAGTCACGAGAAATTGTCAAGATTCAGTTCAAGATTTTCGAAAATGCGGAACGATAATCAATAATCGAAGATAGCCATTTGATTGTTCATGGTATTGGCATTCTAATGGCGTTTACGGCATGCCTGTATGTCTATTTTGTGATTTTATATGATTTTTTGAACGTATGCGGTTTTTGGTCGAAAACTCAGAAATCATGACGTCACTAAAACCTCGATATCTTAAAAATTTTCCGACCGATTTTTTTTTTTGAAAATTTGTCACAATAGACTTTAATCAATTCCCTACAGGTACCCAAAATTTGGCGCGCCTGCGGCGCGCCGTTTTTATGCTATGGCCCGGCAAAAAAAGTGGGGGCGTTTAACGCCCCCCCCCCAGCAACTCGCGGATTAAAGGAATCACCTCGATTATCTTTTTTGAACTATACACTGACAGCACTGAGTATCCTGGAAAATTTCCCCATGCATTTGCATGCGGGAGAACTGGGACAAAGTCTACGCACGTTGTCTCAGTTCTCCCCAAGTCGTCACTTTCAACTGCTCTCCCACACAAAAAGTATAACAGATGCATAAAAAATGTTAATGCATAATTATGATGACTTCACTAACATCCAAAGGTGAACGGCCTGAACATTTCACATCGCTGAGTAAACGGCAAATTGAATTAGAGTTCAATGCCAAAAAAAAATCACATTTTAGACCCCAACTCAATATCTCAGAGACAGGCAACCGGAAAAGAAACCGCTTGGTTGTAACGTATAAATAGTCATGAGAAAATATGCAAAAACAAAATAGTTTGTCCAATCGGTCAGTGTCACCCAGGTCCCAGATATTGAAGGTGTCCCACTTCGCCCACTTCTCCCCGTCCCAGTTATCCCCACTCTCCCCTAGGTATTCGTCCCGTCGCTTGATTGTTGAGACCTTAGACGTGCGTTCGGACGAGCCGTTTTTCGCGTGGATTTTCCACGCCGTGGAATTCATTACGAAAACGACCGTTCGGGCGGCGCAAAACGCGTGAAATTCCGGGGGAATCCCGCGAAACGACGATCGAAATGCCGAGAGTCGCACCCGTTTTTCAAGATAGCGACCCCGCGAAGGAAATGATGTTCATCTGTGTTGTAAGGGCTTGGCGAATGATATGTTCTTCTTAGTAAAACTTTTTTATGGGGCTCTATCATATGCTGCAAATAGCTGCAGTGGTTTATATGCCTACCTACCTGGCTATAGGTATGGTTTTCGTTTTGCTATGATCTAATTTAAAGTGACCATCCCACCTTAATATTAGTGTTGAGTTGAGATAGCCAAATTGGTGGCCATGGCCTGCAAATACCGGTTTGGGCACTCACAACATCGAAAAATGCTTTTATTCGGCGATATGGAATTTCAAACTTGCAGTTATCGGATTCTAAGGGGCTAATGCATTGGAGTGCCCCCTATTAGAAATTGTGACGTCAGCGGAGATCTAACGATTTTTAAATCTTAGACTAAAACCATCGTTAACATGTGGTTAACACTGCTTTGCGCGCAACGTCTGCAAACGCTATGTGCCGGTCCAGGTGCGCTGAGAGGTCATGTAATGCTAAGTGGGTGGGGAGGACTGTGGGACCGATTCCCTTCTTCCATATCATGATAAAGAGAGTACACGTTCAAGCTTTGTTACATAGAAATAGCCGTCACTTTCCCCACGTGTCGGCACCGTCCACCGACCCGGCGGGTCGGCGGACCGGTCCTTCATTGTGCAACCACCTGGCATATAACGCACAGGCACTGGCGAACCCCAATCAGAATCAGAACCACAGTTGCAATACAAGTCTCGGCCCGCTCAGTCGTCTCTCCTTCCGCGCATCCGCGACAATGGTGGCAGCGGCGGTCGAGGGGACTTGTGCCCCTCACCACGGACCCCAGCCTCTACATCTGCACTGCCATCGCAGACTGGTTAGTCCGTGCTCCGTGACAGTGTATCGCCCCTACGTCGCGTCATCGACTAGGGAGCTGACCATCCTGGACTCGTCATCGTCCAGCAGCACCGTCTCCAGTGAGTAGCTCTGCCCAGCAAGACTATCTGCCCTGCGGCAAGGTCATCAGCTACCCTGGACTACTACGGAGCCCGCCGACAGCGCACGGCTCATCAGCCCGCGCCGTCCTCCTCAGCATCATCGAGTGATGGACACCACCTCGCTTAAGGACTCAAGCTCGGAGGAGAGACGACGAAAAGTACAACGCTAAATTCAAGAAAAACTGGCACAAAATCAAGAGCATTTGAAGATTACGAACTTTTGCTATATTTTTTCGTCAAAAAGTGACAGTGAAATTGTGCTGTGAAATTTGTGTCAACTTCGATTTGTTTCAAAACTGTTTCGTTATTCGTTTTCGTCAGTGTTCTGTCGTTTGTTGCGCTTCATTGTGGTTGCTCACCCCAAAATTTACGGAGAAATTGCAAGTGCATTTAAATTTTGCCTGCACTTTGCCGTTTTATTTTGACACTAGTACCTAAGCATAAAAAGAGCATATTCTGAAGTCGGTATGAACATTCAAATACGTTAATCGTGGTCAATTCACTGAAATTATATTGTATTGATATTCGGCCAGAGATGCCGAGGGCCATGGAGATGCCCAGGGACGGTCCCCGCCAAGAGTGCGGAGGGATCGCCCGGTAGTAGGTGTAATTGTCACGAAACTTACTTATCTGTTCATACCATTTTGTGATACGCTCATATGGAAATTTCTTTCTCCGTCAGCTAAACGTTTCCTCTCTTTGTTATGATCGCTTCGGTTCCCTACGCTTCCCTGGGGGAGGGAAGATAATGTGGGACCGATTCCCTTCTTCCATATCATGATAAAGAGAGTACACGTTCAAGCTTTGTTACATAGAAATAGCCGTCACTTTCCCCACGTGTCGGCACCGTCCACCGACCCGGCGGGTCGGCGGACCGGTCCTTCATTGTGCAACCACCTGGCATATAACGCACAGGCACTGGCGAACCCCAATCAGAATCAGAACCACAGTTGCAATACAAGTCTCGGCCCGCTCAGTCGTCTCTCCTTCCGCGCATCCGCGACAGGACGTAGGGGTGCCAGACGGTTACGAGGGCGCCGTGAGACCATGAAAAGGGCGCCATTCTCCTAGAAGGGCGCCGCACAGTCGATGTATGCACGGTGGACAGAGACACGGGCGCGAGACGGCCAGGAGGGCGCCGTCAGACCATGAGAATGAGGTGCTAGCAAAAGGGCGCCATTCTCCCAGAAGGGCGCCGAGTGATTAAAAATGCTAT